CGGAACCCACAGTATCTCCTTCATAGCACTCATCAAGGTTGGAACTTTAACCTCGGTGGGTGGAACAGTAAGCAATGACACTGACCTTGTCTTATTGCTCGTCATTATGTCCCCAACTCCTGGGCACAGAACTTTACACTCATAAATATTAGTGAGTGGTCAGCATTCATATGATTAGAATCTCTGAGCAGAATTAAGCAGACAGCAAACTCTGGAGTGACCCCAGCAGACCTTCTGCATCTAAACTGTCGACCCTAACCCTCCCCTTGCTCAGGGGTCTTATTCGACTTGGGCATCACCTGGGCCAATTCTTCAAAGAAAACCCTGGTGTGGCAGGAGGCCTGGATAGGACAGTGGGGTTCGGTGCTTTTGCTACACTGGCTGCGTTTTTCACTCACTGGTCTGCTTGCGAGGGTCGGGTGGGCAGTGCTTCTCTTAGGAACCCCCAGTGCTGAGCTGAGCAAAGGAGAAGCCCAGTGCTTGAAGGAACACATGGGGGAGCTGAACTCGCATAAGAAAGGAAAGGCCCAAGAAGCCACAGGGTCCTAGGCAAAGAGAGACGACCACCAAGGTTTGGTTCTTGAATATGTATTTTTTACTGAAAAAATCATTCATAAATTAACATACAAAAATGTACAAACACATGAGTAAATAATGTAATGACGAAGGACTATCTTTGTGAAAAGTGTTTTTTAAAACATCTTTAGATTTCAGTGCAAAAATGTACCCCTGGCACCTCTTAAAACATAAGAGCAAGCTCAAAAAAACGTAGTGATGGAAATAAGCTAGCTACGTTCAATGTCATCGTCAATGGTGAGTGGATACAATCAATACATGTGGCTGTTGCTCAGCTATTAATGTCTGCGATTGAGGAGCTCTTACTAGAGTCCCTGTAATGTCAAAATGAATATTTTTGCAAGTAACCCCCCCCCCCCCCCCCCCAAAAAAAAACAAACCAGAGTGTGAAAGGAAAACCTTTCCCTGTACTCAATAATCAAAGACAAGAATGATGTAAGGGGTCACCCATCAGTAGCCTTAACTAATTTCAGCTGCCAAAATATGCACAAGGTCACATTTGGTTCTTATTGTTCCTTTTCTTTTTTGACATGAGAATTTCACACCATTAACAGCACTCAGGCCTAGCTGTGTGTGTTTAACATTTCAGTTTCCCACACAGGACTCAACGCGGTGGATAAATGACTAACAGCACACAATAAGAGTTCACACTAATAATACAAACTTACACGTGATTGCAAGATAATTTAAGTGACCCCACTTCATGAGACCTTTCCTTTTTGTCCTCAATCCAGCATTTTCTTTTTAAAGTCAGGTGTCAGCCTTTTGCCAACATTTGGTTCCTGGCTTTAACGACATTAATTAAAAAAGCTTCAAAGAAGATCACTTTAGAACACCGCCAGCGACCCGGCAGTCTGTCCTGGCCAGTTCTGCCGAACAGCATCCTAGTTTTGTCACACTGAGAGCAGCTCGGCCTTCAGTGACGGAGGAGGGAAGGGGAACAGGAAGGGTGAGAAGCCAAGGCCAGCACAGAGGTCTCGGGGTGGGGGGGAAGGGGAGTGAGGGGTGAGAGGGAAAGTAGTCTTTATTGCTATATGCACCATACATCAAAGGAAAACCAAATGAACTGTGTGTAATGTTCCCTCGTGAAGGTCTTTTAAAGCATGAAATTCTCAAATTCTTTTAAAACATATGATACAACTTACCAGCATTTTCAAGGGCAGCAGCCTGCTCTCTCATACGAGCCGATAAGAGCAACTGATTTTCTAAATACTCTATTCTTCAAAAGAACAAAAACATTAACAAAAACAAGGCCTGGCCAATCACTCCCACAGCTTGTGGGGATCATACGTCCATGGAACCAACACATGCAATGGAGAAAACCCCAACCCACACGTGTATACAAATATACCCCTACACACACATCCATGTAAACCATGAAATTAAGGAAGTTGAAGGCAAACAAGGCAATTAAAAAAAATATGAAGTACTCTTCAGAAAGTACTCCCAATCATGATTTATAAATATGTTTTATGGAAAGGGAGGGGGAAAACTGGCATTTTTCAAAATTCTGCAGAAGTCAATGGGGACTGTGAATTGAGGGAGTTGGCTCAGGGCAAAAACAGAGAGGCACAAATTCAAATGCAATTTAGAATCTGACTTTCAAAGCACATGGGGTGTGAACAGCCCATGTGGCTCCTGCACCCTGGCTTTGCTAGTCCAATTTAAAGCTCTGATTTGGTCTAACCTGGATCCCAGCTGACCCACGACACATAAGTGTCACTTGCTCCCAGATGAGTTCTTCATCATTCGATTGCTCGCTAGCTCTATGTACTAGTTAATAATGTTGACAAAGAATCTTTCCAGAAATCAGTAAAGGAAATATTCAGAGGGATCACTAGTTGGTCGCTAGTTGGTAATTTAGGCACAGATTTTAGAAATTGTGGTCATGTTCCTCAAGAGGGAAAAAAATTTAAGGGAGAGGTGGGCGGGGGGGGGAAGAGGGGAGACACCACTCATCTTCTCTCTTGATGATGATGAAAGAACGAAACAAAGTGCAGGGACCCGTGGGTGGGCGTGTGCCCGGGGAGCCCTCCCCTCCCCCCCGCCCCGAACGGGAGCGCCTGCTGTAAAACAGCAACCTCCTGTTCAGCAAAAGATTGGGAAGAGCATGTCCGTGCCCAACAGGGGAGGGAATCCAGAGCAAAAGTCAAGAGCAAGACCTTGGGAGAAGGGGGCAGAAGTAGGTGCCAGTGACAAAGCCTGGACTGTTTTGTTCTTTTGTGACGCGCCCTAAATCCACTCCCTTCCAAAGTGACAGCAATTTGGGAGATATATTCTTCCACAGCATTTTAACGGAGTTCCTGCAGTTGCCAACCAAATAATGATCTAATAAGATAAATCCTCAGTTTGAATCGAAGCCAGCTATAAAATTAAATTTAAAAAAGGCATTTTACATGGCTTATTTACAATTATACTTCTTCAAGAAGTGATTGTTACATGTCTATTTGTCTTCCCCAATCCCTCCCCTCTACCCTCAATCCCCACCCAAAGCAGGTAATTTAAAAAAAATGAAACCGAAGAGAACACCAGAGATGGTGGTGTGTGGAGTCTCATTTGCTCTTCCTAAGACACAGCTGCCCTGGGGTGCGTTTGTCCGCCTCTTTGCTCTGAAGGCCAAGAAGCTCCAAAGGCCATTCGTAGGACAGGCTCTGGGGCAGGTCCACGGCGGATCACAGTTCCGGTTCTGGAGATTGTGGCTAAGATGGGACGTTGGGGAGGAGACGGGAAGAAGAGCAGCAGGACAGACGTCTGTCTTGTGAAAATAGAAAGCAGTCCTGATGAAAGGAGTTCCCGAGCGGACGCCCTCGATCCCAGCGAGTCCAAACAGGAAGGTTCTGTGCGTGTGCTCTGTTCACAGTTTTCCTGAACCCTGTGATCCTTCATTAGACACCGTTCTTCTAACTCCCATCCCGTGCGGAGCCCCAGGACATCTCCACACACCAGGCTGCTTTCTTGGTGGTGGTGGGTAAAGCAACACACATTCCCTCCTCATCTTAGTACTCGGTCACCTGAGCCAGCTCAGGGGTCAAGTTGACAGTAATGTTTTTATACAAGGCGTCATATGTGATGTTTGCAAAGTAGTTCAAGTTGTTGAGGCCGTCCAGCCCTTGCCGCTCTTTGGACCTCCTCAGCAGAGCGTACCTGTTGGTGCAGAGAACAGAGGTGGCTCTGAGAGGGGTCTGACCCCCAGGACAGACGATGGGGCAGGGCAGCCACAGAGGAGGACACATGGTGGTGACCGGCCATTCAGCTACTCCATGCCCGATGCTTTATTATTAGAAACACCTCCTGTTTCGTGCCAGCTGCTTTATTACAGATTTCATTTAAGGTACCCACCTCTTAAACAAATGAGGAAACCAAGGCTCATGATGTTAAATGACTTGCCCAAGGTCACAGAATGGGGAAGTGGGAGGTAAGATACTAATACATCAGATGGGAAAGTTCAGAGTCTGTATTCAGTGCCCTGTAATTCCCGTGAAGACAGAGTGCATGCACTCAGAATTGGCTGTCTAGAGACCATCCTCCCCCATTAACAAAAGACAGAGAGTTGCCCTTGAAAATGCAGAGGTGCAACTCCGTCCACACTCCCCAAGAGTCCAACCTAGGATTTACGTATTGAAAGCAGAGAGGTGTTAAAGCAACTGCAACCACACAAACAGTGGCTCAGGGCCACCCCTCAGAACCGGAGTTTGCAGGCAGGTGCCAACTCCGCTCTGTCACGTCAGTGAAAGTCCAAGACCTTTACCCGAGTGGACTTTCCCCCAACTCTCGGCAGCTACAGAGGAGACTATAAAGCGTAAGATGAAGAATGAGTGATTCCCTTAAAGGACCTTACAATCAACAGTCCGATTTCACCCTCCAACGCTGGCCTCACAGTTCAAGTCTATTTGGGACCTATAAACAGCTGTCAGAACAGGACCTGGGAGGGGCTCAGTGTGCCCTGGGACACCTGGAAATGCAAAGTCGAGGACAGTCCTCAGAGGAATAAGGAAAAGGCACCAACCTTCCCAGAAACTGGACTTCTCCTCGATGGTGATGAGGAATGGACTTGTACTTCCCTGTGTCACCTTCCGGCCGGCTCACAGAATAGCCTGCATTCTGTACTCTGCCCAAGACAAAGAGAATGGGCTGTTTAGATAAAGTGATCAAGTCCTACAGGTGACCTAGGCCGAGGCTGAGAAACCCAAGTTGAACAACAGAACTTTCTCTGCATCTAAATATTCAAATTATCTATACTCTCTGGATAAGTTCATGGTTTTATAAAAGGAATCTACAAAAAAGTTTTGAAAAAAAAATTCAAAATGAAGTTCAAAATTCTTGAGGGTAAGGTTGACACGGGTCCTCGGTGGTAGGTCCAACAGTGGTGCCCCTGGCCGACGAGTGCACACCCACTCCCTCTTGCCGGCTCGCTGGGGTCCTATCAGACACACCTTTCTCATGGGTGGAAAGAACCTTTCCCTTCCACAAGCTCCCACAAAGCAAGTCAGAAAAGTCAGAGTTGCTATGGGTTTTCTCTGCTTAGGTCTAAATTATGTCTCCGCTCACCTCCCCCATCACTACAGAGATGAACAAATTTACATGACAATCTCTCAATGTAAAACTTTACAATTTATGAAAAGTCACTACAAGGGAGGCAGAATTTAGAGAAGGTGTTCAGGATATTATCCTGCCATGATAAAGGCAAGATTTCCCAAGCTGGGTTTACTGGAAATTCAATAGGGCTCTAAGAAATCATTAATAGACTTTGTCTTCTATGGAAAATTTACGGTCATTTTCATATTATTTCAATATCCTCCTTACTCCAAATTATACTCTCATTTGATTAGTATACATGGAATGCCTACTGTGTGCCTGGAATTGTGCAGGGTGCTGGGGAACGAACCAACCACAGCCGCCCTCCCCTGAGCTGGGGAAGGGAGGGGGAGAGAAAGAGAGGAAAATTGTGACAGATGTTCTGGGAGAGATCAACTGGATTCAAGGACCAGCCAAACCAGTTAAGTGTATGGAAAAGCTCTTCATCCTCCCTAGGTTCCTAAGAAACTCAAATTAAAAGGATGAGATGCCATTTTTACCTAGTAGATTGAGCAAGAATTGTCCGGAGCTGCTTTGTCCAGTGTAGTAGCCATGAGCCACTTGTGGCTACTTAAAGGCTAAAATGTGGCCAAAATTTAAAAGGTCGTTTATCTCCATTGTTGGCAGTGGTGTAAGAAAATGGGCACCACTGACTAGCATCTTTTTGAAAGAAAATTTGGCAATAATTATCAAAATTTAAAGTGCATTTACTTCTTAACTCTGTAATTCCGCAACTAAGAATTTAATGGAAAGAAACAGTTGCACATGTGAACAAAGGATGTTCAAAATCGTAAACAACAGGAGAGCATTAAAATAAATTACTGTGGCCTGACCAGTGTGGCTCAGTGATTAAGCATTGACCTATGAACCAGGAGGTCCTGGTTCCATTCCGTGTCAGGGCACATGCCTAGGCTGCAGGTTCAATCCCCAGTGTGGGGTGTGCAGGAGGCAGCGGATCAATGATTTTCTCTCATCAGTGATGTTTCTATCTCTCCCCCCCCTTTCTGAAATCAATAAAAATATATTAAAAAATAAATTAATGTGTATGTGCATAAAGGAATACTACGTAATTATTAAAATAATGAGTGGGCCTCACTATATGATCGTGGTGGGAGGGGAGAAGGATGTGTCAGAGTTGCTTATACATGAATAGAAAGAAGCAGAAAGAAACAAGTGTTAAAATGGCTACTTGCTGGGAATGAAATAGGATGGCAAAGGGAAGTAAGACTTACACTCTTTGTTGTATGTACTTTTGTATCACATGAATTCTTACCAACAAATACTACTTTGTAATTAACAGCCAACACATACTTTCTTTTTTAAAGCCAACCTAAAAGTAAACAGAGGTGGCAATGCTTTTGCTTATTCATGCCTTATTGAATTACTACACCAGTCACAGAACTGTTCACACAAACTAGTATAATACAAGCCTTGACTGATAGCATGGATAAATCTGTGCACATCACTAACATTCAACCTCTGGCTTGGGGAGGTCTCAGTGAAATGTGCTATGAGTGGAAAACACACACCAGATTTTGAAGATTTAGTAAGAAACAAGGAATGTAAAGTATTTCATTAACATTTTATATTGATTACATGTTGAAATATTATTATTTGGATACATTGTGATAAATACATTGCTAGCAAATTTTATTACCATATTAAAATTAATTTGACTTCTTTTTCTTTCTTAACAGTTTGAAATGTGGCTATTAGAACATGTTTAAATTATGCATTCTATTCATATTGGACAGCACTGGCCTGGAGAGTCTAAAGGAGCTTTTCTAGAAGACACGGGAAGAAGGGCAGTACCTGTTCCACAGGTCGTCGTCCTCTCCACCCCAACCCCAGAAAGCATTAGGGAAGCCATTGATTTTCCGAAATTGTTCCACTGTTAAGCCACTCACTCCGCCGAAGAACTCAGTATAAGGAAGCCTGAAAGGAGATGCAGAGCATCAATCATCTGTGCACAAAAGGGCGATTTTCCCCCTAGAACAGGCCATCTCGCTGGAAAACTATGTCTACAGTAAAACAAGGCTCTCTGTGCTACTGCCCTGAACCATCCGAAATTGTTTCCTCTCGCTGAGATGCATCAACCTGAGTAGCTCATTGAACATTTTTTATACCAGCTTTTCTGAGATATACTTGCCACGCCATATAACTCAAGAACATAATTCAAAGATTTTTAGTATATTCACAGAGTTGTGCAACCATGTCCACACATTTCATTACCCGCAAAAGAAGCCTTGTAGCCATTAGCAGGTACTCTTCATTTCCCCCATTCCCTCATGAAACCACTATTCTCCTTTCTGTTTCTATAGATTTGCCCATTCTGGAAATTTCATATAAGTGAAATCATGTAATATGTTGTCTTCTGTAACTGGTTTCTTTCACTTAGCATGTTTTCATCCATGTTGTTGCATCTATCAGTAATTCATTCCTTTATACTGACAAACAGTATTCCACTGTGTGGATCTACTACATTTCGTTTATCCATTCATCAGTTGATGGGCATTTGAGTTGGAGCTAATTGGATTTGCCATCTTTGCATCTCATCATCCTTTTAGATTTAACTTCTTTAATTAAGAGGAAATGATACTCACAGATACATATACTTATCCAATTTAGTTGCAAAATGCCTTGGCATCTGTCCACATCCATAGTAGTTACGATCACTTTCAGGTATGTGATCCACATCATGAAAAATAAGACAGTCCCAGTCCAAGTCCTTCATTGCTTCTTGAAAACCGACATTGAAAAGCATGGCTCGATTAAAGGGTTGGGTGCCAACCTAAAAGGAGAACTTTATTTTTAAAAGGATTCTTGAAGCAAAGTCGCTGCTGCCTCTGCCCTGACTAGAGGAACGCTTACTGAAACCCACTGGGAAAGATGGCTGGGCCGGAAGTGAGACAAGACCAGCACGGGCACCGCTGACTCACAAGCCACCTGACCTCCAGCCTCGGTTCCCTTAGAAATAAAGGGGGTGGGGATGATAAACCCGAGCTGCTCTCTCCCAGGCTGTGGTGGACAGCGCTTGGATTACCCAGCCCATAAAGGAAGGAAGAACACTCTGCCCTTTCTACTCACAGCGCCTTATCATAAGGGGAATTTCCTGGAGCCCGAAGACACCACCCAAAGCAACTCCAGCAAACGGCCACACAAGAGGCCTTTGTGCACGGGTAAACAAAGCTCCACCCTGGACTCAAATCTGTGGTACTGACTGAGCAACATTTCAAAGAGGAGCAAAGAATTGCTCTCTGTTCCCCTCCCCAGCTCAGGGTGACTCAGTCACAAGACTTCCGTTTTACCAGCTCTTCACAGCGAAGATGGATTAGCTTGAAGCACTCTAACTGCTGCCTCAGAAGAGAAAGGAGAGGACAGAAAGGACGGCCACTCACTTGCTCAATGACATAAAATGCGAACCGCAGGCGCTGGCGCTGCAGCATGGGAACCAGGTGTCTGAGCAGGACCGGGAGGTGCTCGTGGCGGTTCCGGAAGGGGATGAGGATCGCCACCTGGAGTGGGTCACAGCGAGAGAAAGAGGCCGCCCTGTTAGTCCCCTCGACTTCTGCAGAATCAGCGGCCAGCCCCTGGGGAGTCAGGCTGGAGGCTGCCTTGACCTCAACTTCCTTTAAAGGAAGAACTACTTTGGCAAGTCAAACCTTTGGAGTAAGTGGAGCTTGTTCTTATATGTGCCCTACTGTACACATAGTGGGCCTGCTGGATGGAGTCATTCTAGACCACAGCCCAGAGGAAGACACACATTCTACATGGTGACCCAGTACACGGATATATCCATAAACATTACAACTAAAATACAGTACTTCCCCTTACAATGTGCAAGGCACTTTAACATAGATAGATTTATTTAATGATGGTCATTACACTGATTTTACATTCTAGCAACAGGCTGGAAACACTGACCTGTTCCAGACCCTCCTGGGTCACTGCTGCACCCAGCCATCTCCCGGGCTGGCACAGAACAAGGGCTTCAAAGTGCTCAGTGTCAGGTGAGCTGCCTCCAGTTTTTACTCCACTAAACTTATAGTAACAATGGCGAATAGGGCAGAAAGCACTGAATTTGTGAAGATGGCCTCTGTAAATGTGTCCTAAGAGACCTACCAACCCTCCCCGCTGCTTAGCCAATAGTCCATTAAGGAGACAAAAGAGTCCTGCTCAGTCACCAGAACAATGTAAATTTCTGGCTACACAAGAGTCCTTAGGGGAAACCCATTCCTCCAAAGTATTTCCATCAAATGCAAATACTTTTCATTGGGTAGCAGGAAGCAAATTATAGAATGTCCTAGTCAGTGAATCCCATGGTGATCTGAAACAATGGCAAGTCTGAGCACTTCAGGTCTGACTCCACACCCTACCTTCCATCGGGGCACGCAATCGGAAGGCGACCAGTGACCTCCGAGCTTGATGGCTGGGTCTTTGGAGAAGAGTTCATGAATGGTATCCATTCCAATTTCACTCATGTTTATGTCTATTGGGCCCTCTGAACAGAGAGAGAGGAAAAAAAATTAAGGCCAGAAAATGGTAGATTCTTTCCCCTATGTCCAGGGTTTTACTCTCTGGAGCAGGGCGATGATTTTTCAGCTTATTGTGCTCCTAATAGGAGTGGGAGTCCCTTCCTCTGCCTTCCAACTCATTGCATTTCAGGTTGTCACTATCACTGCAGCCAAACCAAGACGTAGAGTTCTGCTTCTGTCCAGGTTATATAGAGAAGTTAGAACCAAGTAAGAAAGACAGCAATTGAACTTCTCAAAGAGGAAGGAGAAAAAAGCTGAGCTTGGAGCCATCCCTGCGTGCTCCTGAGGCAAGTGCAGACGCACTGTCCCAGTTCATTTACCAGTGACCCTGACTGGTTGTGCCCAAACTCAGAACACACATCTCTAACTTAAGTTAAGAAGTGGAATTGTCTAAGATACAGAAAAGGTGTAATGCTTTGTTGTCATTGCCTTAGAGTAAGCATGGGATTTCAAGAAAATAGGAAAGAAAAAAGAGCCAATAATTTTTTAAACTAGCACTTGTGAAGAAAGTAACTTCTCTCATATCAAACAAGCTATAATCAGTGTAAGATTCATAATAAAAGATGAAGTTGGTTACCTATACTTTCTCTAGGACGTCCTTACAGGCCCCAAGTTACAAACGAGGGTGCATGTGCAAACGGCAGAGGGAACAATGTAGAAAATGGCACTCAGAACACGGGCGCCTTTGCAGGGGGGCTGAGGAAGAGTTGGGGCACAGGTAAGTTTCACAGCCCCCGTTTCCCATGCCAGGGAGATGTTTATGTTTTCTATGCAGGTGGACGCATACAGAGAACAAGAGCAGCCTCCCTCTTATTTTAATCAAATAAAAAGACAGCAGTTTCAAAAGTGGAGGAAGGTAAGGGAGAGCTCTACTCACTCATGGAAGGGAGCCTTTCGGGACAGGTATGGTTTGCAAAGTAGGTGAAGTCTTCAGGAAGAAAAGTGGTGGTTTGTAGGAAGGTCTCACTGTGGTTCAAGTCAAGAGGATAATCTAGAAAGGTAAGAAAAAAAGGCAACTCAGACTGGTACGTACATGTGATCAGTTCTGCAATTCTCAGATGTCTACCAAAGAAGTTTTTTCTCTTAGACATCATTTTTTGTGAAGCAGGATTCTGGACTAGCTCTTCACCGCAGCTATAAATTTGATCCCATCAATAAAAATGTTAACCAGATGACACTATTTTAACCAGTGTTTCTATTCTGATTGATATTACAGCTTTATATGCACTCAGGTTACTGTCAAATTACTCCACAATGTAATTATAAAAACAGCACACACACCCTGTACCTTATTCTCTAAAGCAGGAGTAAGGAACCTTTCTTCTGCCAAAGGCCATTTGGGTATTTATAACATCATCCACGGGCCAGACAAAATTATCAACTTAAAAATTAGCCTGTTATATTTGGTTAAACATTTAATAAACTCACCCCTAATGCCTTGGCAGGGCCAGACCATATGATTTTGGGCCAGACATACTCCACCCCTGCTCTAAAGGAACTACTCTCACTTCTGTTAGCCAACCACTTTACTAGTTACCTCCTTTCGCTTACACAGTTGTGATGCTTCCGCTTTAGGTCTGACCTGCTGACTTCCCACTATGGGGACAGGATTTCCCTCCCTTTCTTCCCCTGCCTCACCACACACATGCCATTTCCATCCTCCAGTCTCCTAATAATCATATATGATAATCGTGGTTATGGATACTATTCATAGCTGAGAAATGTGGAGAGTTATGACTACTTTTCCTTCCTTTCCTGAATATTGTTTTTCCGAGTGACTGTCTTGTTTTTGTGCTTGCCAAGATTTTTTGTTTGTTTGTTTTTGTGAGGGCTTTTTGTTAAGGATATTTTTTCCATTGATTTTTAGACAGAGCAAATGGGAGAGGGAAAGAGCGAGAAACATTGATGTGAGAGAGACACTTCGATTGGTTGCTGACTGCATGGCCTGACCAGGACCAGGGATTGAGCCTGTAAACATGTGTGTGACCGTGACTGGAATCAAACCCAGGACTCTTCAGTCTGAGGGGTGATGTTCTAACCACTGAGCCAAATCAGCCAGGGCTGTTTGCCAAGTTTTAACATCATGCCCTTTATCACTGCATTCACAGGTATCGGGTATTCTCTCCATTTCATGGCCCCAAGAATGTCCAGTGCCTCTGACCCACTCCAATTTGGACTGGCTTTCCTCTGTGCCTGACGTACAGATGCTATCCTGGGATCTCCCTCCCTCAGTGTCCTGGAGAATCCTTTCATCTCTTTACAGAATTGCTCCTCATTTTCCCCAAGTTCAATTTCTCCCTTTTTCTTGCTTAATGGAGCACATCCTCAAAGCAGCTCTTACGAAGGGGAAATGGGAAGTGATTTTGAAACCTGTACATCTGATTGTTTTTATTCTTCCTCCCTTGACTCATCGGTTGGTTGAGCTTATAGAATTCTGGGCTGGAAATAATTTTCCTTTAGAATTGTGAAGGTGCTGTCCAGCTGCCTTCTAGATTCCACTGTGTCTGCTAAGTCCAAAGCCATTCCAATTCTAGATCTCTGTCAAGGTGCCCAGTAGTATCTTTCTGGAAGGGTAAAGAACTTCCTCGTTGTTCAGAAAATGTCATAGTGGTGTGCCTTGCTAGGGGGCCTATTAGCCACTGTGTTGACCATACCTAGCCATTTTGCTACTCTATCAATTTTCTCAATTTTACCCAGCCCTACTTTTATTTTTTTTAAATTGTTTTATTGCTTAAAGTATTACAAAGGGTATTAGATATGTCTCCTTTTTCCCCCCGCCCTTGACATTCCCCTGGCCTCCCCTACCCCCCAGTGTCTTATGTCCATTGGTTATGCCTATATGCATGCATATAAGTCCTTCGGTTGATCTCTTACCTCCCCTTCTGCCCCGCTACTCTCCCCGGCCTTCCCGCTGCAGTTTGACAATCTGTTTGAGGCAGCTCTGCCTCTGTATCTATTTTTGTTCATAAGTTTATAATGGTCTTTATTATCCATGAATGAGTGAGATCATGTGGTATTTTTCCTTCACCCAGCCCTACTTTTAATGATCATTTCTGCTATTATATTTTTTATTTCAAAGAGTCCTTTTTATTTTCTGAATGTTCATTTCATATAATATATTCTTGTTTCATGTTTGGTATCCTTTTTTCTCTTACCCTTGAGAATATATATTATTGTTGTTTTAATATTCTTCTCCCAGCATAGTTTGTTTCTCCTAATTTGCTGCTGCTTGTCTGTTTGTATCCCTAGCACAACAATCCTTGGTCATCTGCTGATATTTGAGTGGGACACTAATCAGCTAACGGAAAGGGTGTGAACTGAGGTTCTTCATGATAGGGTCTTCTAGTCAGAAGTTTGGTTTAGAAACTTCCAGCACCAATATCGTTGTGTCTTTCCTCTTGGTCCCGTCACATTCCCCACAGAAGTCTATTCTAATCTCCTGCCAGAATTGCAGTTTTGGCTATAAGCATCCTGGAACTGAGGACACTAAGATGAGATGACCCAAGTTGGGAGACCCTCTGTTTTACCATCTTTGAATGTTATCAAGTTTCCAATTCTTTGCCAAGATGGGGAAAGAGTTCTGGGCATCTGATTGCTTTTCAAACAGCTTTCAACCAACCTTTATCTAAGTTGCCACCTTTATTTTTTTTTAAATATATTTTTGTTGATTTCATAGAGGAAGGGAGAGGGAGAGATAGAAACATCAATGATAAGAGAGAATCATTGATTAGTTGCCTCCTGCACACCCCCACTGAGGGGCTTGAGCCCACAACCTGGGCAGGTGCCCTGACCGGGAATCAAACCATGACCTTCTGGTTCACAGGTCGACACTCAACCACTGAGCCACACTGGCCAGGTGCCACCTTTATTTTTATCTCCAAAAGTACTTGATATTGCTCATTCCTGAGCTTCTAGAAGATTCTGGGGTATAAACTGGAGTGCTTGATGGCTTTCCTTGCTGCCACATTAGCAGTCAGTTTTTGGGGGGGTCTATTATATCCTTTTATCTGTTTTCCAACTTCCAAAAATTCTTGCTGTGGTCTGCTTTCTTGTTCACTTCATTCTTAAGGGCTTATAACATTATGTATGCATACACACATGCAGCATGCACACACACACATTTTTTTTTACTGTCATTCAGTGGGGTTTTAAGTGTTTGAAGCAGACGCCTTTTCCCTAGGGGATTCTAAGAAGGAAGCCCCTCCAACCTCTTACTTTTTTACAGATAAGGAAACTGAGGCCCCATATAGACAACTTGTACAAGGAGACTTGGCTAGTACATGACAAAAATCTGACTAAACTCTGGGTCAGAGATCTTTCCATTGGACTGTACTATTTTTTCAGAGTACTAAAGTCTCTCTTCCCAATCTTTTTGGATTCATACTGATTCTGTGAACATTAAAACTTCCTATTCAAATTCACTTTGCAACCTGAAATTCCAGAATCTTAAACTCAAATATTTTTTAAAATATATTTTTATTGATTTCAGAGAGGAAGAGAGAGGGAGAGATAGAAACATCAATGATGAGAGAGAATCATCGATTGGCTGCCTCCTGCACACTCCCTACCGGGGATTGAGCCCACAACCCAGGCATATGCCCTGACAGGGAATCGAACTGTGACCTCCTGGTTCATAGGTTGATGCTCAACTACTGAGCCACACCAGCTGGGCTCAGATATTTTTTAAAAAGCACTATGAGATAGTTTCCAAGAATTAAACTTCTAATATAGTGAATCCTTTAATACCAGTATAGGCACATGACTGCCTACTCTACAAGTACTCAGAGGACAAAACTCAATGAGAGGCAACTGGGAGAGAATTTTAACAGTCACTTAACAGGGGGAGAAAGAAACAGACACTTTCTGTCCTTTTAAGTTGTAGCTTTCCTGAAAAACACTAAGCCTGGCCCTAGCCGGTTTGGTTCAGTGGATAGATAGTGCGTCGGCCTGCGGACTGAAGGGTCCCGGGTTCGATTCTGGTCAAGGGCATGTACTTTGGTTGCAGGCTCGATCCCCAGTGGGGGTTGTGCAGGAGGCAACTGATCAATGTTTCTCTCTCATCAATGTTTCTAACTCTCTATCCCTCTCCCTTCCTCTCTGTAAAAATCAATAAAATATATTAAAACAAAAAACACTAAGCTTGCATTTATATAAAGACGTAAACCAAGTCAGCATTAACCCCAAAGGTAAAATTACATTTACACAGAAATTATCCCAAAGTCCTTAGTTTACACATGCAAACCTGTCCTAAGTTGTTGAGCCTTTTCTGAAGGTATTAACATTTCAAAAGCTTTGTCAAGAACCTCCTAGTATACTAATCATTACTCTGGATGGTTCTGATTTTGCTTAATTACACACACACTTCTCTTTAAAACAGCATCACAGTAATTATATTTTCCTAGAAGGCAAAGAAATTCTCAGAGGTATTATAATAAGCATTTTCATAAGCAAATAAAAAAAAAACAGAAGTGAATAATAATTCTGGGCAATGATAGAACTAAACCTTGGAGCTACAACCTAAACAGGAATTAAGTAAAAACAACAAAACAACAAAAAAACATGTAGGAGAGGAGACAAGACACTCTCTAACCTTGATCCTACTTTTGGGGGTTTAAAGACAGATCAGTTCCTTTCTACTTCCTTCAAACACTGATATAATAAGCCTGCTAGCAATTAGCATGGAACAAAACACGACAAAACACCACATATTGTTTCTTCTGGTTACTAAATTAATAGTGTCATTAAAAAAAAAAAAAAAACCTCAAATACACAACTCCTACATGGAAGTCCTCCATAACTTGGCCCTACATCTTGGGGGAATCCCCCCCACCCCCAAGCCCCTAATTTCCTCTTTTCTAATTTTAAGTTCTATAGATAAAAATCTTAAAGAAGTGGAAGAGGAAGAGGACATGAATTGCTCCTGGCCTGGTAAAGCCACATGGTTATTGTGGGGCCCTGGTTCTCCTGGAAATGGGTGGGTTATACTGCAGG